AAAAAAAAAAAAAAAACTTATAATTATTTATATACTAAAATATTTTGCACAGGTAAAATATGATATGCATGGTTGTATACAATATTATGTTATGAATTTCCCATTAAAAAAAGTCTAGCATTTTATTGGACAAACAGAAATTGTATTTTAAAATCCAATTGACTGAAAATTTGACGAAATTGAGGAAGGAATTTATGCTTGTTTTATTTTGAATTAATGATATACCATATTGACGGATATATATCCACCTACATTAGATTATTAAATAACACGTTTGAAAGTCAAGTCATATTGTGATAAACACAAATGATAATTCGAATTCTAATTGAACGCAAATTTGACGAAGTTAGAGGAAATTTTGAATTCAAAAAATGAACATTGTCAAGTATTTTGTTGTAATTGTTTAAAAAATTATTGAAAGAAATAATATTTTTTGTTATATATAATTTGAAAACGTGTATATTTAAACATTTAATGCATATATTTAAAAAAAAATTAAAAAATATGTATTAAATGTTTCAAATATTTTTTACTTTTTTTTGGTAAATACTTATTCTTTATATATATAAGTACATAGAACATTTGTAAATTAATACTCGATAAAATAATAACTTTTCTAAAATAATATTTTCTCTCGGTTCCGACTTGTGCTAATGTAAAAAGTTGTACATTTTAATAAAATAATAAGATACAAATTTTTAGGAAGACCCCTTTATAAATATAGTCCCATCAAAATTATAAATTAATAATCTTATAAAGCATAAACTAAATATTTATAGCTACCTAGTACTTGTTAATCAATAAACACATTCCTAATATTTTTTTTTTTATTCTTGTACCTATAAATTTCTTCTCAAATTTAATTAAAATTCTTTCCTAACAAGTCTACTTGCTCACCAGGTACAAACTACACTTGTCAAAATTTATATTAGCTAAATCGTGAAAGCACACTTTAAACTTATAAATTATTAACTCTCCAAGTTAACAAAATTTTATGGTCCCAACATTATTAATTTATAGAGCTTTTACGGTAGATATATAACATGAAACCGTAAAATTTATTAATTTCACAATTTGTAATACTTATAAACAATTAATTCAATAGAAACTTTATTTTTGTTAAAGGGAAAACAACATTTAACCCACATATATAACTATAGGGTTTTTTGCACTTTATCTTCTCAATTTTTTTTTCGTGACACTTCGCTCATATAACTTTGCGAAAAATTGCACTTAACCAATTTCCGGTTATCGTCGGAAAATTCTAAGTGAAACTTTACTTTTCAATCATTCATTAAATTAATTAATTTACACTTTATCCACCCGCTTATACGTTTCTTTACACCTTACCCGTTCAACTGTCTTTTTTTTTTTTTTTTTTTTTTTAATTTACACTTTGTCCTCAGAAATGGCCGGACAATGAGTGGAAAATGGGATGGGAACTTTTGACGAATCCGACCCCCCTTTGGGTGAAGGTGTTTACGGCCAAATACAATTTCACTACCTCGGCTGGCCTGAGGACGTTCCCGATGAAACAAGGGTCGAGTCTTTTCCGAGCTCTTAGTAAAATATGGCCCAAGGTAGTTAATGGGGTGCGATGGGTGCTTGGAAATGGGGACACAGCCAGATTCTGGCTTGATCTTGGCTTGGGGCTATGGGGCCGCTGGTGAGGTACGTAAGCCCACAGGTGCATGCAGTTGACATTAACTCGAAAGTGGCGGACTATGTCGATGAGCATGGCAGATGGAGATGGGACCTCTTTCATGGTATTCTCCCTCCTCCGTTATCCTGCACATTGCTGGTATTATCCCACCGAGCGATGCGGCGGGGGCTGACCGCATTATTTGGAGACACTCGAACGATGGTAGGTTTTCGTCGAAGTCTGCCTATCGGGTCCTCTCACGAACGGAGAGAGACCTTGACCAACCTTTATGGAAAATCATTTGGCGGGCTCCGACACCTCAAAGAGCCTGCACCCTCTTATGGATGGTAGCTAAAGAACACTACTCACTAACGCCGAACGCCTGAGACGACATATTGCGAGTTCAGCGGCTTGCGACTATTGTGGGGAGAATGAGTCTTTCATACACGCGCTACGGGATTGTCCGGCTGCCAAAGCTCTCTGGGGCTGTCTATTGCCGACCGACCATGATGGCACCTTTTTCCATCAATAGCTCAAATCAGGGTTACGTAAAAACCTATTGCAACGGAGGGGAGGGGCGCCTGTTGATTGGAGCTGCACTTTTTCCATTGCGGTGTGGAGAACTTGGAAGTGGCGCAACGAGAGGATTTTCGAGCACAAAATGCAAACGGCCGAAGCTAGGAGAACCGCGATGATGGAGCTGGTCGAAGGCTATTCTCGAGCAGTCGCGGACTATGCTCGGGCTGGGGCGTTGATGCATATTACGCGCTTGATCCAATGGGTCCCACAAGAGCTAGAATGGGTCAAAGTTAACACTGATGGAGCCCTCGATTACCAAAGGAGCTTGAGTAGTGTGGGCGGTTTGATCAGAAATAACATGGGTGGATGGATTGAGGGTTTTTTAATGAACATTGGACATTGTACCATTACAGGAGCCGAGTTATGGGGGCTCTTCCAAGGGTTGCAATTGGCGTGGGACCTGGGATATCGAAAAGTGGTTGCTGAGGTAGATAGTCTCTGCGTGGTAAAACTGGTATGTAACCACGACGAAAGTAATGGAGTCCATAGCTCAATGGTTAAGGCAATTCGTGGGCTTGTTCAGAGAGACTAGACCGTTAGAGTCCAACATGTGCACCGGGAAGCAAATTTCGCAGCTGACTATCTGGCGGAGCTGACAACATCTTTCCCGGTTGGTCTTCAGCGAATTGTCGCCTTCCCGAGCGGAATGGGTGATTGGTTGGAGCATGATATTATTGGGGTGTCTTACCCTCGTCGAGTCCTAGTCTAGGACTAGACCTCCTTCATTGTATCGAAAAAAAACAAAATTATCTAAAATATTATATCACAGAAAAATGTTGAATGAATAAAGTGAAAAAAAAAAAAAAAACCATATAATTAAGTTGGTGAAGTGTAATTTTCCTTTTCTTTAAAAATGGTAAAGGTGTTAGCACTAGCACGGCACAGTTATAGGAAAATAGGATATCATCTATCAAGACACGCGTCCGCACATAAATATCCCAATACCAACAGATAGAAGAATACCTTCTGGCTTCTTCTTTAAATGGGCCCCGACACTTTCTTTAGTCGGATCCAATCTGACCCTACTTTTGATTTTTCCCCTCCCAAATTCCAAATATTAAATCAGTATTAATAATGTTGTCATTAAGGAAAAAATTCCCACAATTAAAGCACTTTTAACCTCATATTTAGCTGCTTTCTTCAACCTTCTTTTGTGAGAACCTTCTAGAAAATAAATATCATACCCTATCCACCCACTGCCTCTCTCCGCCATTTTTGAGTTATTTGTTTTTTCTCTTGTAATTGAAAGGTTGAAGAAGAAGCATTTTCCCACAGGTAATAATAATGAAATTTATCTCTTACATTATATTTTGATTTTACATAAAATCATCGGATTTTTCACCTGGATCTGTGAATTTAAAACATTTTCCTATGATGTTTGCATCTTTATTCCATTTTGTTTTTGTCGGAATTTGGTTAATTTACTTATTTTATTCTTTTTTTTTTTCTGGTTGTATCTCATTTTTTGTTGTGCGATTATTGTTTTGTATAAAGTTTTGGATCTGTTACAGATAATTTTGGAGAAAATATTGTGATTGCATATGGCTCATGTTTTGGTACGGAAAATTAAGCTGCTTGTTTGCGTTTTTTAGGTTTAAATCTGTGTTGGTGTGTCCATTTTGTGTGTGTGTGTGAGATGAGCGGTGACGGAGCTGTTAGCGGCGGCGGAGGGAGCAGCGGAGGAGAGACAGCGAAATTGGAGACGCAGAGGTGTATTAATCCGACGCCGTTTCTGACGAAAACGTATCAAATCGTGGAGGATCCGAAATTGGACGATTTGATCTCGTGGAATGAAGACGGGACGTCCTTCGTCGTATGGCGTCCGGCTGAATTTGCCCGTGATTTGCTGCCTAAATACTTCAAGCACAACAATTTCTCCAGTTTTGTCCGGCAGCTCAACACCTACGTAAGCCCGCCTGCAGTTCCATAGAAATTTATTCACTTTTCTTAAAATGTTAGGCATGGTAGGCCGATTGATTGAATTGTGCAGGGATTTCGGAAAGTCGTTCCCGATCGGTGGGAGTTCGCGAACGATTGTTTCCGACGAGGCGAGAAGGCGATGCTCAGAGACATTCAGCGCCGGAAAATCTCGACCGGAGCTTCCACTGCCCCGGCGGCTCCTCCCGCCGCCGTACCAACCGCGCAGCCGTTGCAGGCGGTCGCCCCCGTAGCGGTTATCCAAATCTCTCCTGCAGACTCCGGCGATGAACAGGTCCTCTCCTCCAACTCGTCCCCGGCGGCGACCGCAGCAACCGCCACCGCGCCTCCGGCGCCTCGGGCGTGTGCAGCGGCTCCAGAGATAATGGAGGAGAACGAGAGGCTGAGGAGGGAGAATTCGAAGCTGAGACAGGAATTAGACCGGTTGAGGAGCCTTTGCGGCAATATATACAGCCTCATGTCCGGCTATGCGGCGAATCCGAGCGAGGCCGTGCCGCCGGAGGCGAGGGCCTTGCAGTTGCTGCCTGGGACCCATGGGGCCGTCCTGGAAGACGGCACCGAAGAGAAGGCGGCGGAGGAGGAGGTTGAGGGGATGTGCCCTAGGATATTTGGGGTCTCGATTGGTATGAAGCGGCTGAGGTGCGAGGACGGGAAAGGTGAGGACCAGCGCACGCTCCACCTTGGGCCGGAGAATAAAGCCGAGCCGTTGGATCACGGGAGCAGTAGCATCGACGGCCATGATTCTCCAAAGCTTGATCATTTGTGAATATTATAGTATTAAAAAGAAAAAGGAAAAAAAATCTTGTCACTTTCTAGGATTTTGATGGACCGTTGGTTTCGGTTCGACGAAGAGTGGATAATGTAATACGTGGCGCCCGGTCACGATGTCACGTGATGGAAGACCCCCGACCTATTCTTCTGGAGCTTTCTTTAATGATGTTGATTAGTGGGCCGGTGGGTTAATTTGGTCGTGTGTCGATGGATTTAAAGTGGGCTTTATTGTGTGGATTAACTGAAAAAAATATCAGGCTTCATTGGGCCTTTGTGGTTGATGTTGAGGAAAGTCGCATTGTTGATTAGATTAGGGTTGACTAAAGAATTTTGCAAAAACTAGCGAATTTGAGTCGTATCTGATAGAGCTGTAAACGAGCCGAATCGAGCTCGATCCCATTAAATAAACGAGCTAAAATTCGAGTTCGGCTCGTTAAAGCCTCGAGCTTGAACCTTAACGAGTCGATCTCGAGTTTGGACGAGTCGAACTATAAAAAATTATATAAAAAATTTATTTTCGAGTCTTATCGAGTTAAGTTGAGCTCGGCTCGTTAACTAATCAAGCTTTAAATGAACTTGAGTTTCAGCTCGTTAAGGTCTCGAATTTGAGTCGTGCTCGAGCAAAGTTTTTTTACTTTAACAGCTCTAGGTGCTGGTTCTTATGTAGAATAAATCTATCCATGGACGTGACTCGTGTGGAAACACTTATAAAATTTATTTTGTGTAATTCAACAATTTTGTATGTATGATGGTGATAACCAAGGTGTAGCATAAGACAATGTCCAATCTACTCTATTCTTGCGTAGAGTCTTAGAACAGAGAATGTTAAAATTTTAACTTTTGTCTTTAGTCAGTTTGTTTACAAAATAAAATTTAAAAACAATTATAAAGTCAATTTTTTTTTTTTTAAAAAAAAAATTATTTGGCAGAATAGTTAATTTATTAATTTATATTTTATATATTAGAAGTAAAAATTAATAAAAAATTAAAATTTGAAGGAAAAAAAAAATTGTAGCACGGTAAATAGTATTTCGCTACATGTAATAGAGCAAGCTTTTTACTCTACTCATGGTGTAATTCTTCCAGTGCTACTATCGTGTGCCCTGGCACACCTAGCTAGGTGTGCCAGGACAATAATAAAATGAACATGTTCATTTTAAATGAACATGTTCATTTTATTGTATTACATGTTCATTTTATCATTACATGTTATACATCCAATTTAGTTTACGCGGCCAACTTTAAATCGTAAAAACCTGAAACGTATAATTTTATCGCGAGTGCGCAAAATGAACTCCCCGTTTATATATATTCCTTGTGCTTGTAGGAACATGACTTGAATATTCTTATTTTTTTAACTTATGCCAAAAATATCTCACAAACATTAATAGGCATCGCCATGTCTGTTTAAACTACTCTTGATTAAATTCTAATATGAGGATTAAGATTTGCGCGAAGCTCAGCATGATCAATTCAATTCACCATTTACACAGAGCCCATAAACAGAAACAGAGAACGTGACTAAGGACTTACGAGACTATATTGAGATAAAAATAATAAGAATCAAATTTCAATCATGATTTGAGAAACAAATGCATAGGAGTAGGCATGGTCAAAGGCCGACCTGGCCCGTCGTCCCGGCAAAACAACCGGCCCGAATTACGCCTGTTCAGTGAATCGGAACCGTGGCTATGCGGGTCGGTTCGGGTTCGATAAATTTCAATAATGATTTGAGAAACAAATGCATAGGAGATAGGAACTGAGAAAATTATTACTTGAGAACACATATACCACCTATACATACATAAAGTCACAACTAGACGTGGCCAAATGCCGGGCCAACGGGCCTCAAATGTTAGGCCCCTAATCGGCTCGTCAATTTCTATGGGTCAGTTCGAATGAATCGACCCGACCCCGCGGTTCAACTTAATCCTTCGAAAAACCTGGGACCGGTCTGGCCTGGCGGATCAAAATTTAATAAAAAACGACCCTGAACCGACCCTTAAGGGGTTCCGGGCCAGTTTGTAACTCGGCTTATCCGGGCCGGCTTGGCCCATGGCCATGTCTAGTCACAACGCCGTCGGACATATGGAAAAAGAATAACTATCTTTAATTCCATAAGATACAAATTAATTATCAAGTAATATAATACAAATTTACTGCAGTTTTTAAAGATATATTATTTTTATATACTTAATTACTTGTTTGCATATATCATAATATTAAATAATTTGTGACCACAAACATAATATTAAAGTTTTAACGCAATTTTCTCCACAATTACACACATCGAGGAAAAAAATAATAACTCATAAGCATGCCAACACACACCAACCCCATGATACCCTTTTGTGATGTTATATATATACATACTCCACAATTACACACAAACACACAAATTGAGGAAAAAAAAAATCATAACTCATAAGCATACCCACACCAACCCCATGATATCCTTTTGTGATGTTATATATATACATACTGCATGTTCTTGAAATGTGAAAATTCCAGAACTTTTTTTATTTTTGTTCTACAAATTGGACTTACAAAATCAAATTACAATAATCGTTTTGTTTTTTCTTTTTTCCAAACACATATATGTGACATCATCATAAGTGGCTATGTAATAGAGCCTTATGGTTGAATTTAATACTACAAACACCTAGCGAGCTTTCTTATACTTATTTTCTAAAAGCCTATATCCAATAAATATATATTTGTATAAAATGGGGAAAATAGTTTTCTCTTCTTCCCTGTCATCTTCTTCTTAATAATGTTTGAGCTCACCATATTCGGTCTGTCAACAAATAATAATTTTACTTTTATTGATTGCATACCAAGGGAGAGGAAAACTCTCCTGAAGTTGAAAGCAAGATGAGTCTAACAGGCTTTCCTCGTGGAAAAACATCGGATACAAATATTGTGTTTGGCAAAGCGTAAAGTGTGATAAATCGACTTGACATGTTATCGGGCTCGATCTCAGAAATCGAGTTGTAGATGAATATGAGTACCCGAGCTTTGATAGCATGTTACAAAACGAAACACTTGATTCTTCCCTGCTCGAAATGAAACATCTCAAGTACCTTGACTTGAGCTGGAATAATTTCAATGGCAGCTCAATTCCAACATTCCTAGGATCATTAAAACAACTGCAATATCTCAATTTCTTACATGCAGGCTTTGGAGGCGTTATCTCTCACCAGCTCGGCAACCTCTCAAGCCTGCGTGCATGTGAGGGATAACGCCTCTAAAGACTGCATGTGAGAAATTGAGATATTGCAGTTGTTTTAATGATCCTAAGAATGCTGGAATTGAGCTGCCATTAAAATTATTCCAGCTCAAGTCAAGGTACTTGAGATGCTTCATTTCGAGCAAGAAAGAATCAAGTGTTTCGCTTTGTAACATGCTATCAAAGCTCATGTACCCATATTCATCTAGAACTCGATTTTTGAGATCGAGCCCGATAACATGCCCAGTCGATTTATCACACTTTACGCCTTGTCAAACACAATATTTGTATCCGGTGTTTTTCCACGAGGAAAGCCTGTTAGACTCATCTTGCTTTCAATTTTAGGAGAGCTTTCCTCTCCCTTGGTATACAATCAATAAAAGTAAAATTATTATTTGTTGACAGACCAAATATAGTGAGCTCAAACATTATTAAGAAAAAGAAGATGACATGGAACATGATTGAAGAGAAACATTTTCTCTATTTTTAAATATATATTTATTGAATATAGGCTTTTAGAAAATACGTAGGAAAGCTCGCTAGATGTTTGTAGTACTACATTCAACCATAAGGTTCTATTATATAGCCACTTATGATAGATGTCACATATGTGTGTGTTTGGAAAAAACAAAAAACAAACGGATTATTGTAATTTTATTTTAGTCCAATTTGTAGAGCAAAAATAAAAAAAAGTTCTGGACTTTTCACATTTCAAGAACATGCCGTGTGTATATATATATATATATATATTAGGAGTGTGTTAAGGGACGCAAGGGACATGACGAGCGCCAGTAAGAGTACAGGTGGCAAGCAGAGGAAAATCGAGCCGGTAGTTTGCAAGGGGACTCGATAGGGTCTGTGTAACATAATGAATGCAGCGAATTCGAAAAGCATACCGATTGCATAAAAGAAGTTGAGGAACTCGAGGATTTCTTGAAAGCTCATCCAAGATAGGAGTATCACGCCTGATGCAGAGCACAAGATGCTGAATGTGGGCGTGTTGTATTTTGATCTGCAAGATTAAGGGGTCTTAAAAGATTTGGAAAAAAATAAATTTTATACTACACTTTCCACTAAATAAGGGATGATTAATAAAAAAAAAAGGAAAATCTAACCCTCCATGATTCTTTTATGAATACATCACAAATAAATGTGCAAAGACAAAACTAAAGCATCGAATTTCAGATAAAATGACTAAATTTGTCCAATGCAGCTGCTAAGAAATCTACTGATGTAAAGCTAAATGAGTCTCTAGCATCAACCATCATGTTACTTAAAGAAAGTCGATCGCTTTACGCGTGCTGTTGTATCCTCAAAACCTCAACACACAGTTCCTCTATGGGACTTGGCAAAAATGAACCTCATATACAAAGTAAATTCCTCAAAGAAAACATAATCTTGCCACAAAGGTTCCAAATTTCCAGTTCCAATCTTCCATCACACACTGCATTCCACATTTCTCCTATAGCATATCAATAACATATCCATATCAACGCACGGTCTCTAAAAGCGGGCTATTAACAAGATGTTCAATTAAATACAACTGAAATCCTAAAAGGAACATGAAAACGAATTGAACAAAACATAACCCATTCGTATGAATCCTCCTCAATCTTCACCTAAAGCCAATTATTTATACAGGCCAATTCTCATCACCTCATAACTCATAAAAACACAAACAATTCCTTACGTTAGTGAAAATCGAAAGCTAAAACTTCCCCACAAAATATTCAAAAATCAAGATGACAACAGACCCAATAAACTGACCTGGAAGCAAACACTGCTGGCAGCATCCCTATCTCGCTCATCCCCAAAAGCTGGTAAGCGTCACTGCTCATCTCAGCCTCAAACAGGCCCAAGTTCGAGAAAGCGGCCGCCGCCTGAATCCACCACCTCAGCCACTGGCCTCCGATCAACATTTCCCACCTCCGCAAAATACCCGTCACTCCAATCGCCGGGGTCCGTCTGCACAGCGGCACAGCCCCTGTACCCGCCAGCAGAGGAACAAGATACGAGCACACGACCAGAACAACTGCCCCAAACAGGGCCCTGGGGAAGGCCCGGGCCGGGTTCTCAACCTCCCCTGCCAGCGTACTGGCGTTATCCCAGTAATTCAAGTTCCAGAAAAGGCTATTGAAGTAGCCCCGCCAGCTTACTCTCCCGTAATCCATGGCAAGCCATCTCCTGGGCCGGAGACGGGGTACGGCCAATATGCCCATCACGAGAAACGGGAAAAGCGAGAAACAAGCGAGTAAGACGGCCGAGTAGCCCACAATGTGCAGTCCTCTGTAGTTCAAATACGTCAGCACGACCGTGATGGCTGGCAGGGCCGGGATCCGGGCGGCCGTCTGTTCGAAAACCGGGAAGAAGCGTTTGAGGTAGTCGAGGAAGAGGATCAGGTAGAGTGCGTTGTCCATGACCCCGCTGAACCACTTCCAGAAGCCCTCCTGGAAGGCCCAGAAGGGGCCGAAGGCCGACGAGATCCAGAGGACGTAGCCGCCGTTGGCCGGGAAGCTGGTGGCGAGCTCCGCCGTTGGCCGGGAAGCTGGTGGCGAGCTCCGCCGTGATCAGGGCCTCCGGGATGCTCCAGAAGAAGGGAAAGACGAGGAATCCGAGTAGGGAGAGGAAGGGCCCGCCGCCGGATCTGACGGAGTCCTCAACGCCGGAGACCTCGTAGAAGATTAGGGCGATGAGGGGCAGGATCGTGAGCTTTCTGTTGGCGACCATTCCCTCCTCACCCATCCACGGACTGCGAGAGGGGTTTGAGGTAGAGTGTTGTATGAACCCTAAATTCCCAAATCGAAACTGAGTGATTCTGTTGGGGGAGTGATTTTTTTTTCATTTTTTTTTTTTGAAACCATAAATTTTATAACAAAAATTACAGAAGTTTTTGGCACAGAGCCATACAAATGGAGGAGAGCTCAGCTCCCAAATAAATACACCAGAACAGAATGGGTGCACATAGCAAAGATGAACACTTTGAGACCATGGGCTAAGACCTATATCTGGCAATTGCTTCTGCCTCTAATGGCTATAAAGGCATTATTAGCACCAAAATTAGTTTTGTAATAAGTGAGTGAAATTAAATATTCAATGGGGTCCACTCATGTGTAATAATTGCTCAAATTTGCATCTTGCACATGAGGTTCTTGCACTGCATGTGAAATGCCCATCCCTCTGTCAATTGCTCTGCTGCCAAAACGCGTGAAGACAGCTACCATTTGATCAATTTGTGCATCATCTTTCACTATAAATAGAGGCCTCAGCAGAAGGAAAGAAGGCACCAAAATAAGAAGAGGAAAAGAGAGGAAAGAAAGAGAAATAAATGAAAAGAAAGACAGATTTATGTCCAAATATGAGATATAAAATTATCAAAAGAGAGAAACAAGTGATATTTTTATTTATTTTAAGATATTCCTTTTTATTTTTAAGTGCTCAATTCTCGACTCCGTTCCCGTTCGCCGGAACTCGTAAATCTTGTGTGCTACAGATTTAGAGACGTTTGCCGTTGTATCTTTGGGGAAGTTACGCCTGAACCGTTAGCTGCCAAACGGGGCGTATTCTTCTTGCGGAAAGAGTTTTACTCGCCTCGGTTAAAATCTTTCCGTTTTTCAGTTGTATTTTATTTTTCAGTTCAATTGTAATTTTCTATTTTTAGATTATTTGTAAAAACTGAAAATACATATCAGTTCGTAGGATTCCCGTGTAATTTTGACACAAGTATCCAACAATCGCAAGAAGAATCTCAGCCATCCTACTGAACTGATGGCATCCACCGGAGCAGGTTCCAGCTCTCAGCATCCGATCAATCATGTACCTGTTGTCCATGTTCCTACAGCTGAAAAGCCCGAAAAATTCAACGGGCTTGATTTTAAGAGGTGGCAACAAAAGATGCATTTTTACCAGACCACTTTGGGTTTGGTGAAATACCTGAAGGACGACCCTCCGGTCATTTCTAAGAATGAGACTAATGCAGAACTACGCGCTGCGTACGATGCTTGAGGGCAAGGTGACTATCTTTGCCGTAACTATGTCCTGAACGGGCTTAGTAACGAGTTGTACAATGTGTACAGCTCTGTTGGTTCTGCCAAGGAGCTTTGGGCTGCCCTGGAGAAGAAGTACAAGACCGAGGATGCCGGGGCGAAGAAATTCGTCGTCGGCAAGATGGTTGACACGAAGACTGTCGTGTCACAAGTGCAAGAGTTCCAACTGATCTTGCACGATATCCATTCTGAAGGGATGACTCTGAGCGAATCATTCCAAGTAGCGGCTGTGATCGAGAAGCTGCCGCCAGGCTGTAAGGACTTCAAGAACTATCTCAAGCACAAAAGAAAGGAGATGAGTCTTGAAGATCTGGTAGTTCGTCTTCGTATCGAGGAGGACAACCAGAAGTCATCAGGAAAAGTCCCGATGATAGAAGCTCGTGCCAACTTGCTGGAGCAAGGCAACTCGAGCAAGAGGAAGACCCAGAACAAGGGAAAGCAGCCAACCAAGGTTTGGAAGTTTACTGGAACTTGTTACAATTGTGGAAAACCAAATCATATGGCTAAAGACTGCAAGAGGCCAAAGAAAGCTGCGCCAAAGAAAGGGCAAACGAGTGCCTTTGTTGCTGAACACGGCCCTGTGCCGGGTGAATTGACCGACTTTGATATGTCGGCAGTGGTGTTTGAAGCCAATTTGGTGGATAACCCAAGGGAGTGGTACATCGATACTGGTGCCACTCGTCATGTGTGTTCCGACAAGGAGGTGTTCTCTGAATACACTCCTGCTACGGGTCGGAAACTTCACATGGGAAACTCCTCCACGTCTGATGTGGCTGGAGTGGGCACGGTGGTGCTGAAGCTCACTTCTGGAAGGGAGTTAAAGCTGAAGGATGTTCTGCATGTCCTAGACATCCGCAAGAATTTGGTCTCCGGATCACTTCTTGTTGAGCATGGATTTAGGCTGGTGTTTGAAGCTAAGAAGTTTATTCTTAGCAAATATGGAAAATTCCTTGGTATTGGTTATCTCGACAAGGGATTGTTCAAAATGAATGTAATGGTTGTAAGCCGTGTAACCGTTGATAATAAAAAGCCTATTTCTGTTTATACCGTTGAGTGCTATGATGTATGGCATATTAGATTGAGACATGTAAATCTAAATGCGATAAAACGGTTGATGAAATTAGAATTAATTCCTAATTCTAAAGTTGATAAAAATACAAAATGTGAAATTTGTATTGAAGCAAAAATGGCTAAGTTGCCTTTTCACTCGGTGGAAATGAGTACTGAACCATTAGGCTTGATCCATACTGATGTATGTGATATGAAAAGTGTGCAAACAAGAACCGGTAAAAAGTATTTTGTAACTTTTATCGATGATTGCACAAGGTTTTGCTACTTATATTTGTTAAGAAGCAAAGATGAGGCTGTGGAAGCGTTTAAGATATATAAGACCGAAGTTGAAAATCAACTCGGCAAAAGGATTAAAATAATCCGAAGTGATAGGGGTGGAGAGTATGTAGCTCCTTTTGAACAAATATGTTCTGAATATGGCATAATTCATCAAACGACGGCCCCTTATTCTCCACAGTCGAACGGTGTTGCTGAACGCAAGAACCGTACGTTAAAAGAAATGATGAATGCCATGTTGATTAATTCAGGATTAGCCTAATACCCCAAAAATAGTCCGAACTGTATAGGAACAATAATCCATTTTTGCTCGAATGGTTTGTCGGGGAACTCTCCCCTCTCTGATCCACACGACGCGTGCAATTTCTTTTCCGCCCACAGAACATGTGGGGGGAAGCTGTTTTGACAGCAAATCATATCCTGAATAAAATACCCCTTAAAGGGAAAGATGAGACTCCTTACGAAATGTGGAAAAATCGTAAGCCGTCTTATAAATACCTGAAAGTGTGGGGGTGTTTGGCTAAGGTTTCAGTACCTGAACCAAAACAAATGAGAATCGGGCCAAAGATGGTCGATTGTGTATTTATTGGATATGCGTACAATAGTACAGCATATAGATTTCTGGTTCATAAATCAGAAAATCTAGAGGTATCTGTTGGTACCACGATTGAGTCAAGGAATGCTATATTCTTTGAGAATGTTTTTCCTATGAAGGAAAAGGCAGAATCTAGTTCTAATAAAAGAACGTATGAAACTGCTAGTGGTTCTGTACCAGAGGGTACTAATGAAGAACCGAGACGTAGTAAAAGGGTAAAAACGGCTAAAACGTTTGGACCTGATTTTATTACGTACATGTTGGACGATGAACCGAGTTCCCTTAAGGAAGCTCTGTCTAGCCCAGATGGACCACTCTGGGAAGAAGCTGTAAATAGCGAAATTGAGTCCATTATGCAAAATCATACTTGGGAGTTGGTTGATCTCCCTGATGGTTGTAAACCTTTAGGATGCAAATGGATCCTAAAGAAAAAAATATAAAGCTGATGGATCGATTGATAAGTTTAAAGCACGTTTGGTGGTCAAAGGCTTTAAACAAAAGGAAGGGTATGATTTCTTTGATACCTATTCACCTGTTACGCGTTTAGCGTCGATAAGAGTGCTTCTCTCGATTGCTGCTTTGCACAATCTTGAGATTCACCAAATGGATGTCAAGACGGCGTTTTTGAATGGTGAATTGGAAGAAGAAATATACATGGAACAACCTGAAGGGTTTGTTGCACCTGGACAAGAGAGAAAGGTGTGTAGATTGATCAAATCCTTGTACGGACTGAAACAAGCTCCCAAACAATGGCATTTGAAATTTGATGACGTGATGTTTACAAAAGATTTCAAAATCAACGAATGTGATAAATGTGTTTATGTCAAGGGTACATCAAATACATTTGTGATTGTATGTCTATATGTAGACGATATGTTGATCATGGGGAGTAGCCATGAAGTGATCATGGATACAAAAAGAATGTTGAAAAGAAATTTCGACATGAAAGATATGGGTTTAGCTGATGTTATTCTTGGAATAAGAATTATCAGAACCCAAGATGGAATTGTCTTGTCACAATCTCATTATGTAGAGAAAGTGCTCAAGAAATTTGATACCTATGACGGTGCACAGTCTAGGTGTAAGACACCCCTTGATCTCAGTATAAATCTGGAAGTCAACAAAGGTCAACCAGTGGCTCAGTTGGAATATTCACGGATAATAGGGAGTCTGATGTACTTGACGAATTGTACACGACCAGACTTGGCCTATCCGGTGAATAAGTTGAGCAGATTTACAAGCAATCCCAGTCATGAGCACTGGAATGCTTTGAAAAGGGTACTTAAGTACTTGAGGTACACCCTTGAATACGGGCTCAAATACTCGAGATATTCAGCCGTACTTGAAGGGTACTGTGATGCAAGCTGGATATCAGATTCGAGAGATTCTCGCTCTACTAGCGGATATGTTTTCTGTATTGAAGGAGGTGCAGTTTCGTGGAAATCCACAAAAAAAACGTGTATAGCTCGGTCAACGATGGAATCAGAGTTCATCGCTTTAGATAAAGCTGGTGAAGAAGCCGAGTGGCTTAGAAATTTTTTATCTGATAGTCCATGTTGGGATAAAACTTTGCCGCCTGTGATGATTCACTGTGATAGCCAAGCTGCTATAGGTAGGGCGCAAAGCAACTTGTATAACGGTAAGTCTAGACATATTCGTCGTAGACATAATACCGTACGTCAGTTGATCACTAATGGTATTATTTCCATTGACTATGTGAAGTCTATGGAAAATTTGGCTGATCCTTTGACGAAAGG